TGTCATAACTTCTTCTTAGTACTTCCAGAACTGTAAACCAAATTCTTGCAGATCCATCATGTCATTCAAAGAGGTCACAGTCCTCCCAGGCAAGAGTTACTGCCTCCACCAACCTTCTAGGAAGATTCTTACTGTACTGCTTGTACGTTTCAATGTGTTCTAGGCTAGCACACATGGTCTTTATTAAACCATGTGATTTTGTTAGAAATGTCTGGAAAGCAATAAGCAGAACATCTCTCCAGCAGATTTGAAAGGACAGTGAATTCTAGCAGAATCCTAGGAAAAGCACCTGCTGATAGGAAGACAGTTACAGCTTCCTCCACCAGCACAGCTGCCCTTGGCACCCACCATAGCTGTTGCTTCCCTGCAGCTTCTTAAGTGCTTTAAGACACTATTTAATAGGAAGGCATAGTCCAGAAGATGACATCTAGTCAAAACAGTAATAAAGATAGGAAGGTGAAATCACTGTCTACCTTTTCATCGTAGTCCCTTCAAATTGGCTTCAGATTAATACAGTACTACATCAAAATACACTCAAAAAGTATTTCAGCCTCAGCCAATATTTGACCTTTGTTGTCTAACAGAGACTCTCTTTCCAGAGGATAAATTATTGATTGAAGAATTTTAATTCTTATTATTGCAGCCTTATATATGTACATAAAACAGGACAATATTTATATTAAGCTTATGTTATAGGATCCCATAATGAAAAGCAGAATGTAGTGAATTATTTTGAAATACTCTCCTTCCCTAGTTAAGGGGATGTAGTTCTACTCAAAACTCTGTATAAACATTCTCAGGGGTGTGGGCAGAATCACACAGTGGCAGTTGATGATGTCACAGTGGTGACAGCAAACACCAAAGAAGAAAACTTCCAATTATGACCATACAGAATATAGTGTGTGTATATATATACATCTCCTTAATAATTATGTACATATAGCAAGTACTCATCACATGTATCTGTCAGTATGTTTTTCTTCAGGTGTCTAAGTTTTGTCAAGCACTGTATCAACTTAAAACCTTCTGCAAAATTATTATATGCCATCTGCTACTGTGGATAGATAATAGCATATCTGCTTCTCCCCTTCAAGAATGCAATGTGGAAGGATTTTCTTTTTAAAAAGAAGTGGAATGTGGATGGGTGGTAGAGTAGCATTGCTAAACATGAATATGAATACCAGGATGCCTGCTGCACACAGGTTATTATTACAGCTCTTACTTTATCTAGCTCTACAGAAATCTCAGGGTGGGCATAGTGCCTCTTCTTGTTCACACCTGCCCTCTTCTCAGCGTTACCATAAGATTCAAGCCAAATGATGTGTACATAGCTCCTGCTCTCTCTACTCAGGGCTCAGTATTTTCCCAGATGACAGAACATTCTCCTTTACTCATCGCATGCAACAGGAGTAAAGACAGCTTCCCACTTGTTTCATTATGACTCACCAGAGAAGAAAAGGGAGAGAGATCACCTCCTGCTCAGTCAATGAAATCTTTACAGGTAAGGTATCTCAATAAAGAGTCCCATTTCAAAGAATAAATACACTGTCTATTTTGTATGTCAAATAAGAAAAAATAGATGTATGCCATCATCCCACTACATTCTAAGCAAATCAGAAGTAAAGCTGATGACATTTAAAACTAAGTGCTCTTACAAGGCCTTGAGATGCAAGCTGGCAGGATCCCCTGAGACTTCAATATCTTGGGCCAACCCAATATTAGGATTGTATAAAGGCAAGCAAAGTACTTCTCAGATGGTTTAGTCACACTAAAGTTACCTAAGCCACACTATAAGCAGCACATAGAAAGCTTCTAGCAGGAGTGAGGCTTGGGCTGCTTCCATGTTAAGGCTGAGTGATTATGCAACAACCACCTCTGTGAACTATCCCTCTGACCCTCTTCCTTTCTTCCATCTTATTCTGTCAATTTGAATAACAGATTCAGTACATGCACAACATGCACTGAAAATCACACAACACATGAGTTTGTTCAGCAATTCATAGAGAGGCCTAACTAAATCCTCTGAATCATCCTGCAATGCTTCATTGCATGTAAAGGGGATGAAGGTTAATACCGTTACCCTTTTCTCAGCAAAATGACAGACGTACTTCCTCCAAGATGACATTTAAAGAATCAGTAAGCTTTTGTTTCTTTCTTTTAGCCCCTTTCAAATCCAAATTTCTACACATGGATGCTCCAGAAAATGCAGATAACTAAGGTTCTCAGAACTGAGCCACATGAATCACTTTTAAATGGTATATTTCACTAGGTTCTGCCTATATTATACAAGGTAAGAACTCTGACTGGGTAATAAGGCTGAACACCTTATTTTATTTTCAGTATTGATGAAAATATTTTGAAAAATATCTAAGTTTGAGATCAGTATTGTCAATTTTTGTAGTCTACAAAGCATTAGCAAAAAAAAATATATGAGTTTTTAACAGTTTAAAGTGATGCTGTTCTGGATTTAAATTGATCTGACCATTTTTCTGTCTATTTACTCAGATTTTACGAATATCTGGGGAATCTTCCCCTAGGGCTAGACTTTCATTAAATTCAGCTTTTAGAGTTGTACCAATATCCAGAAGTTTGTAAGACTACAGACTAGAATCTTCTGATTGGTTTCTGTGGCACTATTACATAGACGGAGTAGCACTTTACAAATCTTCCCCAAGTACTCTTAATTGCAATCCTTTAAATATATTAAAAGAATACCAGAAGCAAACAGCCAGCAGAAAAAGAGGGGGAAAAATAAAATTCTGAGCTATGGGACTCTAGTGTTTTTTCTGCTGTCAGTTCAAGGGTATGATTGTGATCTTTCAACCATTAACAAAAGAATCACGTTTCAGTATTTACAGAGTTTAGGTGCAAAGAGGGAATCAAACCAAAATGCTACACCTAAATATGCATCAGGAAAATACATTCATTTACCAGACAGAAAAGGAGTAAGCAGTTTACTGGTTAAGCTTACTGAAATTAATATTCAGAGGACCTACTTCTAGCTAAATACTAATGTTTACAACATTGTAACCTACTAATTAGAATACCAAGGAGAAACCTTTACAGACTAACAACATGCTATTACTAAGTACAGAACTCAAGAGGAGAGAGGCTTTCAAACTTTGTTTCGGGTCTACTTCCTCTGTTTGGTAACAACATGAGGCATAGAAGAGGGCAAGAACTTTGATATGATTTTTAATTCTCAAAGAAAGTTTATCCAGGTGCCTGCAGTTATCACAGCAGAAATAGTGACTTACTGTCCTTTCTGAGCATAACTTTCAGGAATCAATTATTTTTAATGCATTGCTCCTGAAGTAGCTTCAGCATGTTCAGTACTTCCTAAATAAATGCTAAAATAAAGTTTTCCACAAATCTTCAAAGCATTTTTCCCCATTTTATGAAGTTCACTAAACCTGTTCATTAGCTTTATGACTGGGCAGTTACTCCAAACCCAACCCACACCACACAATGCCTTCTAAATACTGATGACAAAGTCAATGAGATTACTTACATACATAGAAGAAATTGTATCAGAAAAGAAAAACCAAAAAACCACAAAACACCAAAACTCAAAACCAGGAGAAAAGCACTCATTGTTTTTCAATAGGATCATCATTGAATCGCAGCTATAATGTCAACCATGCTGGCATGCCCCACTGCTAGGCCTCTAGCAGCTAATGACGGCTTGTTCTAATCGCACATTAAAGACACAGATTAAGTTGCATGTTAGACAACACTTGTTCGTATGGCCTGTCCGGTACAGATAACTCTGTGGCCCAACCTGAAGTACCTTACACAGGACAAAGGGACACTCAGGTGCCTCAGAAGGAGACCATGCTACTGCCAAGGAGCAGACTTGCATAGAGGAGAGCCAATTGCAAATGCTGAAGAAATGAAACGTATCTCAAGTCCCACTTTCCTTTGGAAATCACATTTCTTACTCTGAGTCTTGCCAGAGAACACACTCCCCATTCAGCCAGTTCTACAGTCTTGAAGCCAGAGAGAGCATCCTCCTGAAAGGTAGGGGGGTTTGAGCCTACTCAGACTCCAGGCAGTGAATCAAATCTCTCATTTTCTGATCGAGTGCTCAGAATAGCTACGCTAGAAAACCACAAACAGGCACCAGAATGAATTAATCAAAAAGCTATTGACCTTGGGGGGGAGAGGGGAAGAAGAGAAAAAGGAAATACTTCTACAGCATGAAAGCTTTCTAAAAAAGAGTCAAAACCAAGCTCAGTAACCCTGTGCAACCAGGTGCTCAGACTTTCTGAAGAATATAAATCAAACTACGTTTTAAAACCCTACCTATAGGCTTCATGATCTCTTCTGCACTTCCCATTTTAGTGTCCTCCAATTATGACTTAAAAAGAGGGGGAGGGAGAGGGTAAAAAGAATTTAAGGGGAACATTTAATGCATTTATCACTGAAAACATGTAAAAATAACTTTGCAATGCAAGACACCTTGCTCCATATATTACTCATTTTATTACAAGACAAATCAATACAGAGTCTCCAGATAGGTTAAAAATACAGGGACAAAATAAAACTAAAAATCAAAAAGCCATCAAAAATCATGATACAAAATGAGACAAAAAAACCCCCAAATTAAGATGATAAACCACTTAAGAATATAGAATTTTTTATTATGAAATACAACACAGAGAATTAGCTTTTCAATGAGTTATCAGGTATTAAAACAGAAAAGGTTTTTCAGAACCAAAGAACTAAGCAGATGTTGTTGGAAGCAATTAGAAGAAAATTTAGTATACATGAAAATACACATGCATGATGAAATGAAATTAAAAGTGTAAAATCTTCTCTTAACAGATGGAGATATGAAAATGTCTTTTTTATTTTTCCCCTTATTTAAATGGGAAGCCTCTCTACCAGCAAATAAGAAAATAGAATAGTTGCTTCTTTATATTCCATAAATAAACAGCTTACACAATGTCAAGTCTGCCAACTTTTTACATGGTAGTTATCAAAACATATCGACTTACAGAGGACAGCCACAGCTCCGGATTCAAACATGAGACATTCTTCTCTGTTTCTGGCTTCCACTATCACACTGAATGGAAGTGGATCCAGCTTGTGATAGACTCGGTATCCTTTACTGAAAGCCATTTTGCCTTTACCAGAGGCAGTCCTGTCCAACACAAGATGATGTTAGCGAAACCTTCCTGTACTTCCAGATACCTTCTGCAAAGCAGGTCTGACTTGCATCCTTTCCTAGGGATTTTATATGTTTAACAAAAACAACCAACCAACAACAACAAAAGACCTGCTCACTCTTTCTACCTCATGAGACTTACTTTATCTCATGTTCCAAAACAAACATAGGGACTATCTAAAGACAACACAGCAATGTTTCGAAATCACAATTACCCAGAGAATCATCTTTCAAAATCAAGGATTTATTTAAAAGCTTCAGAGACAACAAGAATTTATTTCATAATACTTACTAAATAGGATTTCTTCTTAGGAAAAAGGAAAAAAAAAAAAAAGAAAATAACGCTCACTAGCCACCACAAATACGTAAGAGTGGCAAATATCTTAATCATAAACTAATGCCAAATGCAGAGGACCAGAAGCCTGGGCACGCTTCAATTTTTAGATCTGTTTTACTTATTCTGACCTTGTAGAAAAGGACAGTATATTTTCGACACCAAAGCTGTCAAGACGTTTTAAAAAATCATTCAAAACCGTTAACCTGTTTTGGTTTTCTTTTCTTAAAATGAAAGCAGATTTTTGTTTGGATTTAAACCCTCCCCTGCAGTGGCTGATGACTGAAACATTGCAGTGTTGTACTCGTGAAACTGCCTGTAAGCCCCAGAGGTAAGATCTTCCTTTAAAACAATTAAAAACCCCAAGCAATAAGGAACTATAAACAAAAGCGTGAGTAGCCAGATTTTAAGGGCTTAAGCTCAGGAAACATACAGAGAAAGAAGATTCTTCTTGAGAAGCCAGAGAAGGGGTTTCTGTCCCCTCCTTTCCCTTCAGCTCAGTCTGTAGCCTCCAGGGCGGACGCGGACTTTATGCCGCCGGTCCG